AATGCTTTTACTCATTTCTGTAAAAAAGCTTACACTATGTATCAGTGGACTAATACAATAAGGCATAATGTGACGCTCCTTAGTTGAGGATTCTGATATGACACAGTCAAAGGTTTTGTTACAAAAACCCTCTTTTTTGTACCTAAAAGCAAAGCATAAATAAAATAAAAGTGAAAGTAACAGTCTGATGCATATTGTTAAACACACACACACCACAGTAACAAAAGATCTCTAAAGCACCATATTAAATATTACGGCCAAACCCAAACATTACGTGAAGAAAGCCTCATTGATGCCAATAATGAAGTCTTAAGATAGTGAAAGTCTTTAGAGTAGTCCAAATGAGAATATTTTTTAGCACTCTTAGGAACAATGATAGTGTCTAGGAAAAATAAGACTTTGATGTCCCCAAGGCACTGTTATTATTAAATGTCGCACAAGACAGTAAAGAAGCAATTTTGAGGGGAAGGGGCGGGGTGGGAAGGACCGCCGGCGAGATCTCGAGGCGAGGCTCACGTGCCTGCCCCTGCCTGGGCCCCAGAGCCCACCAGGTCGGCCCAGCCCAGCCATGATCAAGGGGATCCTCATCTTCAACAACCAGGGCAAGCCACAGCTCTCCAAGTTCTACCATCCCTACAGTGAAGATACACAACAACAAATCATCAGGGAGACTTTCCATTTGATATCTAAGAGAGATGAAAATGTTTGTAATTTCCTAAAAGGAGGATTATTAATTGGAGGATCTGACAACAAACTGATTTATAGACATTATGCAACACTATATTTTGTCTTCTGTGAAGATTCTTCAGAAAGTGAACTTGGCATTTTAGATTTAATTCACGTGTTCGTGGAAACATTAGACAAATGTTTTGAAAATGTCTGTGAACTGGATTTAATTTTCCATGTAGACAAGGTTCACAATATTCTTGCAGAAATGGAGATGGGGGGATGGTATTGGAGACCAATATGAATGAAATTGTCACACAAATTGATGCACAATATAAACTGGAGAAATCTAAGGCTGGCTTAGCAGGAACTCCAGCTCCTGCTGTATCAGCTGTAAGGAATACAAATCTTCCTGAGATCCCAAGGAATATTAACATTGGTGACATCAGTGTAAAAGTGCCAAACCTGCCCTCTTTTAAATAAAATACAAAACAGGCCACTCCCCGGTAAAATCCAGGGGCGAAAGTCATCTAAGTTTGCCATACAGTTGTTTACCAAAAATAGAGGAGGAAAGTCTTAACTTTTGCTCTTGAATTTAAGTCAAGGTATTGTATAGAAGTTGTGTAAAATCAGTATGAAATTTTGAAGTTGCTTTTCTTGCTCAGTGATTTTTAAAAAATTGTATAGTTCCAGTGTGATTTTTTTTTCTTTTCTAAACTGCATTCCTATGCCCACCTAAGGCATGCCTCTATGTATTGGCTATTACAGTATTTTGAAAGTGAGATGTTTCTTTAATTATGTACAACCCAAAATGTTGATGTTTTGTATGGATCACAAGTGTAGCAGTCCTTAATTCTTTCTGCTGTTTGTCACAATTGTTATTTAAAGAACCAAGTGTGTACTGCATGAAAACATTATGACCTTTTCCTCTTAGTTTAAATAAATTCAAAGGTAACTGGATTTCTAAAAAAAAGGAAGCAATTTTGAATATGATGAAGAGCAATTGTCAGGGGTATGTTAAACCACAGCTTCTCTTTGTGTGAGCTTTTTGTTTTGTTTTTGAGACGGGGTCTTGCTGTGTAGTTCAGGCTGGCCTTGATCAACTCACTATGTAGTCAAGGCTGGCCTCAAACTCATGGCAATCCTCCTACCTCATAAGTTTTCATGAAAGAGAAAGCAAAGAACTACAGCTGACTTCAAGCTCCTTAGAGGGAAAAGAAGCCCTGAGGAACGCATATAACTCACTTTCTCATTTTAAAAATTCTGAGTGAAATGATATAACATGAGATGAAGAACACAAACTAGCAGAATGATGAATAATAATGGTGTTAAATCTATCAAACTCCAATGTCTAAGGTCTACTGTTTGGGCATAATTGCACAGGATTGAAGGAGAGACCCTAACTATAGCTCAAAAGTTTAATTTTCTCACTAGAGTATACTTCCTCTACAAGACCACAAAAGGAACAAATATGCTATCAATGAATAATGGCTTCCTTGTTGCTCTGAATAATAAAATATTAAAAATAAGAAATGACCTCAGATTCTGTTCTTACCTTCTCAGAATACAATTGATATTCCTTTAAATATCTTCAAAATCTTGTGTGGATATAATTTTTTATGGATTACACAGATATTATAATCTGGATATGGATTATTATATGGATCTAGTCTTGGAGAATCTGAATCAAGGATAAAAGTTAAAAACAAATATGCTTTTCTTTTAATTACTTTGCATAAAAATCTAATTGAATGGATATTGGTCTTTATGTCATTTAAAATTCTCAGGTTTTTTGTTTTGTTTTATTTTGTTTTTTGAGACAGGGTCTCACCATTTAATCCACGCTGGACTTGAACTCACTGCATTCCTCTTGCTTCAGCCTCCTGAGTGCTGAGATTAGAGTTGTGCACCAGCATGCCTGGCTCAATTTTACTTTGAAAAAAAAAAAGAAAAGAAGATGAATTCTATTTAAAATTGAAAACAGCAACTAGGAACTAGAAGTTTAAGCTTATATCGCTCCATCACTAAATAGTAAATTTTGTTAGAGTGAGGGATATTTAATCTTATTTACCACTTGATTTTCTAAGGGAAAATTCTGATACTAAAGAAGATTCAAGCAAATAATTTTTGATAGTATACAGTCCTATTATATAGAGGTAAGTGAAAAGAGTAACAGGCTAAAATTTTTCTTTTAAAAACTATGGTTTCCCATTAAAAGAGGCTATTGAAAATATTTTGACACAATGAGCAGTCTTTTCTAAGAATATTTGCAAGTCACAATAGTGGGTTAAAAGCATACCTTTAACAGAAAAATGGATGACATATTGGTAAAGAAATTTCTACAGTTAGAGCTAAGTTAAATATGCTGACTTCCACTTACCAAGAAAAATAGAAACTATGTTATCACATAATTATTAAATGCTGCAATTGAAAGAAAATACATTCATAAAGCCTTCTCTTTTCACCCATGTAAGAATCCATTTAAATTATACCAAGGATGTGCATCTATTATTCTTAAATTGACAGACTTAAACAGACTTGAGTTGAATCTTTTCCCCTTCTTAAATGACCTTGACTCTAATTGTAATAGTCTTAAACAGTATACAATCTTCTTCATTTCTTTAACTCTAACCAGTATAATTTTTTTTGGAGTAGTAACCTGAAGAGCTTCTTTCAATATATGTTTCGGCAATGTAAGAAAATCAGGTTTTAATTCAAAGTTTTTGGATTAGTCCGAGATCTCCAAAAGAACAGAACCAATAAGATATATACATATATAGAAAGATATTAGGTATAAGCAATTATCTCATGTGATTATGGAAGCCAAGTCTCAAGATCTGCAGAGTTGAGTAGCTATAGACCTTGGAGAGCCAATGGTACAGTCCCGGTCCAAAAATGGTGTACTTCCAATGAAAAACCTGGTGGTTTCATGACCAAGAAGGAGCTGATGTTTCAGTTCAAGTCAGAAGGCAGGAAAAACCAAAGTCCCAGTTGACAGGCAGTTAGTCTACAAAAGTTCAATGTTTTTGTTCTCTTCCCGCTGATTGCATGGAATCCAATCATTCTAGGAAGAGCAATTTGCTTTACTCATTGCATTTGATTCCAATGTTAATCTTACACAGAAATAGCCTCAGAGTTACACCCAAAATAATGTTTGACCAGTAGTCTGGGCACTCACTGGCCCAGCCAAGTTGACACAAAAAATTAGCTATTACAACTCACTTCAAATAAAATTGGTTTGATTTTATTAGTGTAAAATATATTTTTAAATGGAATAAAATGTTCCATGAATATTTTCATCATATGAAATTGTAAGTATCACAATAGTATAAATAAAAAATATAGGCAGAGTAAGTTATCTTGAGAATATTTTGCATTATGGGAATTTGTCCTACATGCTTTGCAAAACTTATTCAAACACACCCAAAAATGTGACAATGTGCAGTTACAACAAAAGGGACTTACTAAGCTCTAACAGTTCATTTTATTAATAAGATGAAAGTGTTTTACTTGCTACAATATGAATATCTAACATGCAACATAGGTAAATATCTTACCAAAAATCATTTTCTGTCCTTTATTTCTCGTAACAGAAAACTCAGTGCTCTCATTTGAGCCTATGGTATTCTGCTCTTTTGTTCTCATCCTCCCTGCAATTATAGCAACTATAACTAAAGTGCTTCAAATATATACCAATATACTTTCATATCTCCCACATAAGACACGTACTTCTAACATATTACTAACACAATACATCTTCATTCCTAATGTTTGATGGAAATTATATGTAATCTCCAAAACCTGTAGAAAAATGCCAATGAAAGATCCCTTATGTTTAGTTTTCATGGGCCAAAATTCCTCTTCTCTAGGACTATAAAATGAAACTAGCAATAGAATTATAGTCACTGTGGGGCCAACAAAATCCCAGGTTAGAAGTTGATACCAATAAGCGAATGTCACTGTATTTTAGTTACGTGGAACTCTTTGTTTCCCCCCATTTGGAAGTGAACATTCCTCTTTGCTTATGGTAATAATATTGGGATGCAAGATTACTTCAGACCTTTGTGGCCAGTGATCATCTTTCTTTATACTTCTCAACTTCTGCATTTCAATTTTGAGCCATGGGTCATACTAACTGTTCTCCACTACCAAGAACTGAGACTTGCTCAAGTCCCCATGCACCTTAGCAATGATATCAGACTTCACATTTTTCCTTTCTCATATCTTCTCTGATTACTAGGGGGTAGGAGACAGTTATCTGTTCTGTTCCTATCAACTTGTGTTTCCCTAAAGTTCTCCATCATGAAGACCTGATAAATTGTACTTGGCCCTGATTAAGATTCAGTAACATTCATGCTATGAAGTCACAATAAATGTACCTACACACACAGACCTCGTGCAGTCCTTTCTCTTTCTATTGTCAACCTGATTGCTACTCTACTAGTGGAGGAAAAAGGAGAGAAAAAGCTATAACCAGACATAAAGAATTTCACTAGCAAGCTTGGGTGAATATACAGGTCTTTTATTCGTTTGGTTTTTTGAGTTAATCAAAAGAAAGAGAACAAGGAATCAACTATGCAAAGACCAGAGGGACTCCAATATATACTAAATAGATAAATATTTAAACAGATTGCTCCACTTCTGAGCAACATTCGACAGTGTCTCCTTTAACTCTGAAGAGCCAATTCTCCCCTGTGGATTCCAGGGATCCGAAGTCTCTGAATGGTGATTAGTGGATTCCGTGCAGCCCCGGGCCTGACTCCAATCACGTTCTCCTTGAAAATTACTGAAACTTCATGCAGCGGCACAGCACAGAGCAGGACTTATCACTGGGGCTTGGTCCTCATTACAGTCCAGAGACTTCAGGAGATTGTTTACGTGGCTGGGACATCTTCCTTGCGGGTAGCTAATTAGTGTTTCCCCAGGGCTTCTGCTCTGTGAATACGTAAGAGTAATCATCACCAGCTAACTACATGGGGAGTGTATCTAAGCAATTTTACCAAGTCAACTGACAACAGCTTGAAGTAATATTAGCCTTGTTACATGAAGACAAGTGCTCTCCACCCAGTGAAGTCGGAGACAGGCACCACTCAATAAATCACTGCAGCATCCTTGAGAGCTGAGCATCAGTTCTGAGCCATTAATTTCAGTGAGGTCTTTTGACAGGATGTTTTGAGAGCATGAAAGCATTCACTGAAAGCATGTCTTCTTGAACTAAATCATAAAGAACAAATTCTTCTAAGTTACCAACCTGGCAACCCATTTAAGTCCTATGATTATCAAATAAATCTCTTGACATTTTTTCATCAGCCTCTTATCACTCAGGACATAAAGAATAACTTTCCTTTAAACAAGAATGTAATATAGATACCTTGTTAGCCCCCACTGTCATAGCACTACCTGCAGTTTCAGAAACAGGTCTCTGAACTATTGCATAGTACTAGATTAGGATGAAATTTCTCTCTGTTGGCCAAACACCAACTAATGTTACCAAAATCACCACCTAATGACAAAATAAACTAATCAAAAAAAAAAAAACTGAAACTGAAATGTAGAATGAATTTATGAAACCTATGTTAAGAATGTGTTAAAGGGGAGAGCAGTATTATAAGGGCAAAGTCCAGTCTGAATCTCATTGTGAGCAGCATTTTTTATTCCACAAACATATGTCTTACTCTCTGCAGGCACTCTAATAGGTACTGGATTATAAAATATTCAGGAAAGAGCAGTAGAGATTTGTTAACCAAAGGAGTCAATAATCCAGAGATACAATATTCTCTATAAAGTAAACTATTTCTCATTTCATGAAATTAATGAAGAGAGTGGTCCATGTGTTTACACTATAAAATGAATAAGATTTTTTGGTGAAATAATGAATGCTCTATTTTAAATTGTCTAAGAGTAGAAGAAATCTTAACTTTAGGGCCATACTTTATAATGTATATATCTGACACAATAAAGTAAGGCTGGGACTAAGGTGGGATGAGTGACTGATTAAAGCTAAAGAATATACAATAATTTAGCAGTGAAAGAAGAACACCTTTGCAGTATTACCAAAGAGCTAAGATGAGTAAGTAAGTGGCCTGGATGAATTTGAAATAGACATAGGTATCAGAAAGTTAAGTTTGTGGGATCTTGCTCATATTAGTCTGCAAAATTATTGTATATATTTACCCAAAAGTCATTTTAAAACCCTTCTTCATATAATAGATAATGTGAAACAGGAAGAAAAGGGGCAAAGGGGAAGGGGAAGTGAGAAGGGTAGGGGAAAGGAAATAAAGGAATAGAATTAATATGAGAAAATGAAAAAATGGAAAAAAAGTCTTTGTAAATAGGGAGGGATGAAGGGATTAAAGGGAGAGCAGGGGAGGGGGGAAAAATAAGAACCAAGAGAGATTATATAAAGGTGCAAATTTCCAATGAGGAATGTCATTATATTGTATACTTAAAATGTACCAATAA